AAACTGGACTTTGCGCGGACAGAACTTCGTCGCTGAATCTTTCTAAAAAGATTATTGTAGTGCTTCAGCGCTCACCTTACTATACTAAAACTACAGAAAGAGAAGTCGAATCACGAGGGACCGAAATGCTCGGGGGATAAGAAGAGAAAGACTCTTGATCAAGAGAAGGGTGCAAGAAATATGAGAGCCTAGAGCCTCTTATTTATAGTAATTGAATTTTCAAAAACTACCATCTATGATTACTTAATGACATTATAGTTATTTAAACGACTAAACACCCCATTATAATACTATTTTAAATAGATTTAACGATATTTGTACTAAACTAATGTCGAAAGTACTCAACACTAGTCTTATAACGACCGCATCGTCGATACCTTTCTAATGATATATATATATATATATATATATATATATATATATATATACGTATATATGATTTATACTTTATTTTAATACGTAAATATGCTATTATAAATTATAACTCGTTCATACGAACTCCGTTTTTGACGTTCTTTATATCCATGCGTAGCTATCGACGAGATCTACAACTTTCGTTTAGACTCCTTCGGCTAATTTTGACTTTATTTTTCGTCCATATTTTTATAAAATTAAATGATTTTGCTAAAATCATAACTCTCTCGTACGGACTCTATTTTTTGCATTCTTTTTCTCAAAATTCTTATTTTAAGGAGTACTACGATTTTCTTTTTGGTGACTTTAGCTAAAAGTCAACCATTCTCTTCGTAGCTTTTTACGTCACACATTCCTTGTGCGCGACTGACTTTTATATATTATAAAAATCATATCTAATTCATACGGAGTTGGATTTCTACGAAATTTATATTTTCAGGATCGGGAAAACGTGTACTTTCTAAATATTATATATATATATATATATATATATATATATATATATATATATATGTTTTGGCACACTTATTTTTATGATTTTTGGACGATTCAACTGATTTTTTCCTATTCTATTATAATATAATAATCATGAAACATAATTCTTCATTATTAAATCAAATAGGTTACAATTGTTGACCATAAATATTACTTTGGTTGAGATTATTTATCCTAGTTAATAATAAAAAAATCATTTTTAACGCTTATAATATCTCAATTGACTAGCTCGAATCTGCGGGTGTTACAATTATCTCCTCCTTAGGATGATTACGTCCCAGAATCATCAATAAAACAGGGCTTGTATAATGACTCTGTACGTTTCCTTTCCATCATAGGTGGTAATCGTAACTCTCATGTGAGTATCTAACTCTAGGACTCCTTAACTGCTGGCGGTGCGCAATCTTGCACCCACTGTTTATCCTATGTTGGACTTTCAATCGTAACCTTCGAGTTACAAACTCAGTCCTTATTGGGGACTCCTAATTCTTCTTAAACATACTTAACTTAAGATAAGGTCTTTACTTCGATTACCGTAACAGACCGATGGGTCATGTTCTAATGACCTCTCATCGTATGATGCAACGCTTAGACTCAGGTCTTTTTAAGTCAGATTCCAGAATGGAAGATACCTTCCTTCATGTTCTAATGTGATATAATCACATTCTAGCATGTAGCACTTCTAGCTACAAGCTTCTTACTTTAACGGCGATCACGATACTTCTATTGATCGCTTCGATTATCTTTTACTTCAATCTTTTGGCTTAAGTCAGATGCTACATTGAACTTGGTTCTCTGAACCACGTACAATACTTATCTTAGCCGAACTCGATTTGATATAACCACTAGGGTCAGAATAATAATCATCTTCTTAGTCATTACCAAAACGATGGTAACGACAGACATGAACAAAACAGAATCAATTACTAGCGCCTTGGTAACCTTGTGACTTTCCCTGATCCAAGCACGATTCTTGTGCTTCCGGTAGTATAGGCCTCTACTACCTTTCACACCTACTCATACTCGTCCCAAGTATTGTCTCGCAGTTCTCCAAGTCACTACACAAGAAAATTCATATAGCAACTTAACACATCAGATAACATAACTAAGGTTCATATTATTTCTTGAACGATTACATAGATATTTAAGTTCACCCTACACTATGCCTCTTATATTAGGATGCACCATGATACTATCTAGCTACTTTATAGATCCTTACTCCTAATCCCTTGCGTCGTTTCCTGCTTCATCAAGGATCATCTGGAATGCTCTTGCCTTTGGCTTCAGCGGTACGTTTAGCTTTGTAGTTCCTTCCCTCTTTGGTAAGTCATGCTTGAAGTGTCCTTCTTCACCATACTTAAAGCAGACTTCTCTCTTGGTCGTGCATTCGTTAGCATAGTGACCAGTGTTCCCGTATTTGAAGCAGGTCATCTCTTTAGAGCATCTCCCAATGTGCTTCCTTCTGCACTTGTCACACCACTTTTCTTCATTGCTATCCCCATACCTCTTGTTGTTGGGGTCAGAATTTGGGAACATATTTCTCTTGTCGGATCTTGAAGACCCCTCAAACTTCCTCTTCTCGCCAACTTCAACCTTGTTGGTGGTTCTGCCTTTGATCATTTTTTCAATAGACTTAGCAACCCAGATGGCCGCCTCAAGAGTAGGTGTCTGGCGTACTGGCACAGTGTACTCCTATGGTAGTCTCTTTTGTATACCTATCAATTTTTGTCAGCTCATCAGGGACGATGCACAAAGAAAACTCCATCTTGTTTGTGAAGGCATTGGTATACTCATCAATAGACATATTAGCCTTTTTCAACGTCAGAAACTGGTTCTCCAGCTCTAGCATGTTTAAGGCTGAGCAGAACTTGCGTTTAAAGTGTACCAAGAATTCTGCCCATGTCAGTTGTAGTGGCTCATTAAGGCTTATGATCTTTCCCAAAATGTTCCACCAACGGACGGCCCCACCCCTAAACTAACGGACATCATAAGTAGTTTGTACCTTGCCCTTGCAACCACATGTTATGAAAGCTAGCTCCATTTCAGAGATCCAGTCCATAAGTCCGATCGGATCTTCTTTCCCAGTAATAGTTGATGGTTTGCAGGTCGTAAAGTCTTTATACTTGCATCCGTTCCTTTCAATTCCTCCATCCTGGTTATTTCTCCAAATCACTTGTGGTTCAACTTGACTCATAGTACGACTGTAGTTTCCTTCCTCCGACTGTTCTATGTTCAGTTCAGGCTGCTCAACATGCACGGTAGGTTCATCCCTATTCTGTTGAAGTAGAAGCCTTGTCTCTTCTATCTGACGATCCACCATCATTTATATCATTGCCTTTACTCCTGCCATTGTGATTGGCTCGAGTGCAGCTGCTACCTCTGGTGCATGCTCAATCACTCGTGGCTCAGGCTGCGGGTTACCATTTCCCAATCAACTTCGAGTTCTCACCATGTTGATCTATACACCAAATCAGACGTTCGGTGTGCAGTGGTGAGAATTAAGATAGGAAATCTTTATTTACGATAGACATATAAATCTCCTTATCACTCCGAAAAGTTACATTCCAGTTCTAATACCGTAATTAAACGTTTAGAAATTTGAACACATAAAATTTCCAGATCCGGTCGGCAATAGACCATAGATCCGATCAAATAATATCATATAAGGCAGATTTATAGCTATAACATAAATCATTTAGCATATAAAAGCATTTTAGGCATATTTCCTAAAATAAGCTAGTGCTCGTGTCTATTCAGGCATACATCCTAAATATAGCAGACACTCATCTCACGATCATCGCTTAACATTCTAAGTTTAAGACTAGAAATTTCCTAAAATTCCTAGTTGGCTTAAACTAATGCTCTGATACCAACAGTGACATCCCCAAATCCACGTTCATTTTAAAAATTTTATTTATGCTTATTTAAAAATCAGAGTATCATTTTTGAAAAGTAGTATTGCATTTGTTCCCAGAAAACATGATAATGATGTTATTAAAACATTTCCGAATAAATGTATTTTTATTTAAAACATTGGGATGTCATCTTCAATACAGAAACATAAGCATAAATAGACATTACATTCATTTACACTAATGATTTACATCTCCTTTAATCTCTCAGTGTAATGTATCTTCGCATCGATACCTATGATTCAAATAAACTGAGTGGTTCAGGTTGGGAAACCTGGTGAGTACATAGGATTTCAATCCCACAATGTTATATATATATATATATATATATATATATATATATTTATATATATATATATATATATATATATATATATATATACTTTAGAACTCACAATATATACAATTTCACATCATATAAGCAATTTTACCCCACCCCGTAGATCCTCACAACGACACGATCCATACTCCCGAATCTAAAATTAACAACTTTACCTAATCCATACTCCCGGATCAGGTTTGTCTAATCCATGCTCTCGGATTAATGAAAAATGACTATGCCCACTCCATACTCTCGGACTAGGGACGAATGACTATGTCTAATCCATGCTCTCTGATCAATGACAATTTTAAAGTTCGACCCTCAGTGTATATCTCACCTGTACTCATAAGTAGACCTGGAAAACGGGTCGTGTCGTGTCGGGTTGGGATATTAAACGGGATGAGGGTAGTTGACACGGACACGACACATTTAATAAACGGGTTGGAAAACCTGACACGGACACGGCTCGGTTATAACCGTGTCAACCCGAAACGACACGTGTAACCTGCTTAACCTATAAAAAATGTGAAACCCGCCAACTCGTGTAACCCGTGTGACCCGTGAATTTACATAAAATGATAAACAGAATACAAAGTTAACATTGTCAATTTGTCATCAAATATCAAAAACAAAATGACAAAAAACAAAAGAAATTGAAAGTTCAAGTAATCATCCAAATGTCATAAAATACCAAAAACAAAAGAAATTGAAAGTTCAAGACTTCAAGTAATCATCCAAATGACCAAAACGTTAAACATATTACAATCCAACAAAAAAACAAGTTTAATACCAACAAAGACTAAAAGTTCAAAACAAATCAAGTCTTTTTAAAGTTATTTCTTCTTCATCCTTCTTCCTCAACATAATCCAGATTGTTGTGTTTGAGCACCGGATGTGTTACTTTCCTTTGCATCTTCATCAACATCAACCTTCAATGTAGTAACCTCTTTGCATAACGCTTCAATTTCAGGTTGCAATGATGCTACAAATACAAAAATCGATATTAGCATACAAATGAAAAAAAAAGAAATAATAATGTTGTAGTTTTTATAAAAAAAACAATAACAAAACAGTTTTTTTAATGTGCAGTTTTTTAACAATAAAAAATGCAATTTTTAACATGTAGTTTTTTATCATTTTCAGCAGAAAAACAGGAAAACAGGAAAACAGAAAAAAACAATATATGAATTTTTTAGTTTCTTACATTCTTTGAAAGCCCAATCTCTAATACAAACTAGTACTTCCGCGGTTTCTACCTTTAATGAACTCCGATAAGCATCAAGAACTCGTCCTCCTATACTAAAAACAGATTCGGAAGCAACAGTGGAGATTGGGATGGCCAAAATGTCTCAAGCCATTTGATAAACAATGGGAAACCGTCCTTGAAGGGGTTTCCAATATTCCAACACATTCAATTCACCAATTCGAGGTAATTTTGGCTCTTTTAAATACGATTCCAATTCAGATTTACCATCGGTGGTAAACTCGCAGCTAGAGAATTCATCAAAATCCTAATAGAAAGATTAGAGTTAGACAACAAAAATAAAAAAACAATTAAAAGTTGAAACTAAAGAAGAACATTTTTTACCGTCATATACGTATCAGACAAGTTTTCATCAACTTTAGGAGAGGGAGGCGAGCTTTCACTTGCCTTGGACTTGGTATTAATGGCTAAATACTCATCAAACAAGGAAAATAATTTTTTTTTAAATAAATCCAACTCGAGATCGGAAGTTGAGCCATATACCTTTTTGAAAGCCCAATCAATAACTTGAAACTTGTAACGAGGATCAAAAATAACAACAATACCCATGATAGTACTAAACTCGGACCAATATTTGTCAAATTTCAAGTTCATCCTAGTTGCCATGGTCTTTATAAAGTCATCGTTACTTACTACATCCTTTTTCAAAAGCAGTCTTATCTTGAGAACATTAGGGAAATAAAGATTGGCTGTTGGATACTTAGAACACGAGAAGGCTAAAGTCACTTCATGAAAAACTTGCAAAAACTTACAAATTTTTTCAATCTTGGACCACTCTTGAGAACTAGGACAATGAACAAAATTAGCATCAGTCTTTACCATTTGAAGAAGTGCTTTTTTGTAAAACAATGCATTATCTAGCATGAGAAATGTAGAATTCCAATGAGTAGAGGCATCTTGTCTTAACCCTCTAGAGGACTCAAGGCCAACATGTTGAACGACACGTAAAAATGCATTTTCCCTGTTTTGAGAACCCTTGTAATACTTAATACATTCTCTCATTTTTTTGACAGCTTCATCTAATTCCTTTAAACCATCTTATCCTATCAAGTTGTGAATGTGAGCACAATAACGAACATGGAAATAACCACCATCACACAACAAATCCAAATCCAATTTCAAAGCATCAGCCATAGAATCATTCGAATATGGATTGTATAAGGTTATAGATACTACTTTATTATGAATTCCCCATTCTTTTAACAACCCATAAACCTTTTCAGCTAATGCAACACCAGTATGGGGAGGAGGCATGAGAGTAAAAGCAAGAACTTTCTTTTGCAAACACCAATTTTGATCAACAAAGTGAGCAGTTAATGAAATATACCCATCGGTAGTCACATAAGTCCAACAATCAGAATTTAATGCTACTATATCAAGAATATATTGCAACACATCACAAAGCTTATTTTTTCAACCAAATACATGTTTTTATCTCACTTTTTATGGTGTTTCTACAAAAGGTTTTCACTTCCGGGTTCAAGTAAGCAAAACAATTCCTAATACCTTCATATTCAACAAAATAAAGAGGAAGATTGTGTCTAGCAATTGCAATTGTAACTAATTCACGAAATTCATCATGCTTATACATGGAAGATCGAGTTCCCAATGAACCATTCATATTAGTTTTTATCAAAAGTTGACCAACATCAGCATAATTGTTTGTGTTACAGGTCCTAGCATGTCTAAGCATATTCCCTATCCCATAACTACTTTCACCAATGTATATAGTCCCACATTTCTTGCATTTAGACTGAATATTTCCATTTTCATCTAATTCATCAATTATTTCAAAATGTTTCCAAACAGGGTAAGTTAGCTTACGTTGGCGTTTCACAGGGTTACCAGATAAGTTTGGTTTAAGTTTCTTTGCTTTCACCCTAGCAGCTTTAGAACCCGACGAAACTTCTGCTTTTTTGGAACGCTTCCAACCTCCTCTTCACCTTCATCACCAGACAAGTTAATAGCTTCATCTATTGTAGTTAGTTGTAATAAAGACAGAGAACAGAAAAAGGGCGATCATCGACTATAGTTTGGTACTTGGTTGTAAATTCTAAAAAAGATAAAGAACGGATGTGAACATACATGAGACGCTGGGATGGGGGGGTGAAGTTGTGAAGGACGACTGGCGTACGACGTGCGCCTGGTGAAGGAGAGGCTGAGAGGGGCGAAGTCCTGAACAATGAACGAAACAGAAGTCGTGTAATCAACTAATCGTGTTGCTGAATGTTGATTGTTGAAGTCGTAAAACGTGAAGGTCCGAACTCTGATTCTTTGAAGGACACAAACAGAAGGAGGGAGGTGGATAGGATATGACGGGCACGGAAATTGGAATACAAATTAGATTAGGTTTGAGCCATTTTGTGAATCCTAAACCCTAATGGACTTGTGAATTGCTTTTTAGCAGGCCAAATATTAACAAGCCCAAAATTGATTTTATTATAATTTTAACCATATGTAATATATTTATAAAATATAAAATTTTTAAAATATTATATATAATTAAACGGGTCATCATCGATTCATCTTTGTGTTGAAAATCTTGACCCTAACCCCACCCGTTTATTTTTTGTGTCGTGTCGTGTCAACTCGTGTACGTAAACGGGTCGAAATCTTCGACCCTAACCCGCTAACTTTGTGTTGGGTTATCGTGTCGTTCCAGATTTTGCCAGGTCTACTCATAAGGAGATACTACTCGATATTCATCTCAATTAATTTAGGTTTATTTTGTATCCTAAATTATCATATATTATCAGATATGCTCTTAACATGTATTTCATGTAATAACAAATATTTCATACACAAACATATATTTAATACTTTAATAAATACTTGTATTAAAAACATGTTCATGAAAGGGACTATGCACTCACTTGTTAAAGTGATGACTCCAAACTCGGGCAACGCTTCGCTTCTAACAATTTTATTTTCCTTCGACGAAACCTAGTATCATTACCACTAGATTTTAGTCTAATATTTATTGTGACTAATTATTAGTCTATATTTATGAGTGATATTGTTTTATAAGTGTTAAATAATACTTTTCAACTACTATGTACAGACAGGGGCCAGACATGAAACACCGGAGGGCAGGACCATTTTGGCATAAAAGTTGTTCTGAAATCCAACAACCATATGCGGTCATTCAAACCAGATTCCCCGTACCACGAGTAGTTAAAAGATATTACAATAACACTTGATATTTTATAATACTTAGCGCATATATTGTTTATAGGTTCATAGTAATGATAATGAACTTAAACATAAGCTATACTTAAAACACGGTAAGCATAACTCTACTTACAGGTGGTTTAGCGAGAAACGAGACTTTGCGCGAGCAGAACTTCGTCGCTGAATCTTTCTGAAAAGATTATTATAGCTCTTCAGCGCTCACCTTACTATACTAAAACTACAGAAAGAGAAGTCGAATCACGAGGGACCGAAATGTTCGGTGAATAAGAAGAAAAAGACTCTTGAATCAAGATAATGGTACAAGAAATATAAGAGCCTAGAGCCTCTTATTTATAGTAATTGAATTTTCAAAAACTACCATCTATAGTTACTTAATGACCTTATAGTTATTTAAACGACTAAACACCCATTTATAATACTATTTTAAATAGATTTAACGATATTTGTACTAAACTAATGTCGAAAGTACTCAACACTAGTCTTATAACGACCGCATCGTCGAAACATTTCTAATGAAATATATATATATATATATATATATATATATACACACACACACACACATATATATATATATATATATATATATATATATATGATTTATACTTTATTTTAATACGTAATTATGCTATTATAAATTATAACTCGTTCATACGAACTTCGTTTTTGACGTTCTTTATATCCACGTGTAGCTATCGACGAGATCTACAACTTTCGTTTAGACTCCGTCGGCTAATTTTGAATTTATTTTTCGTCCATATTTTTATAAAATAGAATGATTTTGCTAAAATCATAACTCTCTCGTACGAACTCCATTTTTGGTATTATTTTTCTCAAAATTCTTATTTTAAGGAGTACTACGATTTTCTTTTTGGTGACTTTAGCTAAAAGTCAACCATTCTCTTCGTAGCTTTTTACGTCACACATTCATTGTGCGTGACTGACTTTTATATCTTATAAAAATCATAGCTAATTCATACGGAGTCGGATTTCTACGAAATTTATATTTTCGGGATCTGGAAGACATGTACTTTATATATATATATATATATATATATATATATATATATATATATATATATATATATATATATATATATATATATATATGTTTTGGCGCACTTATTTTTACGATTTACGGACGATTCGACTGATTTTTCCTATTTTATTATATCATAATAATCATGAAACATAATTATACTTTATTATATCAAATAGGTTACAATTGTTGATTATAACTATTACTTTGGTTAAGATTATTTATCCTAAATAATAAGAAAAAAATCATTTTTAACGCTTATTATATCTTAATTGACTAGCCTGAATCTGCGGGTGTTACAAAGCGTACCATGTGGTACGCCCCACATACTACTCCAAGGACCAATAATCCAATAAATTAAATATAAAGGGCAGATAAGGAACATACTCTAACAAGCGTTACAACTGATTCCAAAGAAACTAACGATTTCAATATCTCAATTACAAAATCAAAACCAAAAGCCAAAGCCAAAAATCAAAATCAACCCTGAGGAACCGACCACCGCTCTATGAAATTGAAATCAAATTCAAAATCAAAACCAAAATCAAATGCACAATTTCTGAAAACGACCATTAATGATGGTGCGGTTGCTTCGATTCACATCATCGAGGGTGGTGGTGACTTTGATTCATGATGTTTTGCTCAACAGTGGTGTTGTGGTGATGGTGCTGACCGACGAGAGGAAGTGGTCTTAAGGAAGCGGCAACAGAGTGGTGGGTTTGTATGTCGGCTTGCTCTACCAGCCCCTTCGTATTCTCTGGAACAAAGGAGGTGGGAGTGTGGTGGCTTGTGAGTTGCCGGTGACGAGAAGAGATTGTCTCGAGGAAGCTACACAGGTTATCGGTGGTGGATGATAGTGGAAGAGAAGAAGGGAAGAAGAAAGGACCAAGGGAGTTAGGTTTTAGGGATAATATATTTCTTTTAATTTATTAATATATAAATCATAAATTTAACTATAAATGAAATATATAAACCAAAAAGTGATTATAAAAGAAATTAATAAGGGCAAAATAATCTTTTTTATTTTAAACAGGGGCCAAGCGCGCAACAAAAACCTATAGTATGGACCTTCCGAAATAAATAAATAAATAAATAAATAAATAAAAATAAAAATAAAAATAAAAATAAATATGAACCAAACGTGCAAATTACCTAAAATCATAGGGGACCATTCGTATAATTTACTCTTTCTCTAATTCTGAAGTCTGAACCAAGATGGTGTGTTTATTAGACTTAGGAAAAAGTCATTTTAATGGCTAATTCTTCCATCTTCCTTATGTAATTTTGATGTTTTTTTTATTGTTTTATTTTATTTTATTTTATTTTTTTGTTTTGTATCATCATTCGACTTAGGAAAAAGTCATTTTATTAGACTTTTTCTCTAATTACCTAAAATCATAGGAAATTACCTAAAATCATAGGGGACCATTCGTATAATTTACTCTTTCTCTAATTCTGAAGTCTGAACCAAGATGATGTGTTTATTAGACTTAGGAAAAAGTCATTTTAATGGCTAATTCTTCCATCTTCCTTATGTAATTTTGATGTTTTTTTTATTGTTTTATTGTATTTTATTTTATTTTTTTGTTTTGTATCATCATTCGTATACTTGGAAAGTGTTGCAGTTTCCTTTTGATTGTCCAATATATAAAACTATAGAGTTTTGGGACTAATATGACAAACATTATGTCCCACACTGTAAGGCAAAAAAGATGGAGTGAGCTCCATGTCTATAAAAGAGTACAATGGTTTTGATGTTAAAATGAGCAAA